TGTGTCCCCACTTTCACTGGGGGGCCACTCTTTTGGCCGCACCGGGCAGGTAGCGATGTAATGTTCCAGAGCCCCACAGTACAAGCAGGACCCCGGTGCAGATTCGGCGGACCCATTCTTCAGGGGTCAGACGAGCACTGTCTTTTGTCAATCCAGATAGCCAAGTCGACCAGGGAGCGGAGGTTAGGGGGCTCGTCCTGGGTGCTTAATTCCGCCTTTATGTTGTCATTGAGGCCATGCCAGAAGGCCGCGCGCAGTGCGTGATCCTCCCAGCCGGCCTCCGTGGCTAACACCCGGAAATCAATGGAATAGTCTAAGACGCAACAAGCCCCCTGGCGTATTGTCATAAGCTCCCTAGATGCTTGGCTATGATGGGAAGATGGTGAAAACACTGACCTGAGTTCGTCGATAAATTTGGTGATGGAGGTGCCTATGAAGAGTCCTTGTGAATCGGCAGCTTCGGCCCACAGTAATGCATTTCCTCGGAGCCGGTTGATGACAAAGCTGATCTTTTCTCTATCCGTAGTATAGGTTCGAGGCTGGTGGTCGAACACCCGGCGGCACTGGTGTGGTGGCTGTACAGGTGGAGCAGAGGAACCGTGGGGAGGCAACATCAGAGCGGTGAGCTGAGCTACTTGCTGTGTGAGTGCAGCTATGTCTTTGTGTTGCTGCTGCAGTGCCTGAGCCATTTCATCCATGCGTCTATCTTGAGCTGTTTGAGACATACCACTTGCACCGAAGTCGGCAGGATCCATAGTGCCTGGTTCGTTCTGTTAAGTTTTGCCCGCACACGAAGGTGAGGGAGCAAAAGAAAGAGGCAGACCCAGGTAGCCGACTGTGGTGCAAGCAGTGATTTATTAATATATTTACAGTGCGGTGATCTGGCAAACTAAGTGTCCGTGGTACTGATGTATGGGGAGCAACCGGGTGTCAACCAGCAGCAGGAGGTGAGGCGTGTGGAGATGGATGGCGTGGAGAAGATGGGCCGAGCTGCATGGCGGGGTCACTCCTGGGCTGATCGGTGGTTGAGAGGTGGCTGCTGCAGTGACAGAGAGACGTTGGTAAAGGTAGACAGAAGATGGTGACTGTGCATTGACCTGCCTGGAAGGGAAGAATGGAGTACGGTGCGGAGGAAACAGTCCAAGGAGAGAAATGACACAGGTGCTAGTCGGAGGAGTAGAGCATATGAATAATCCAGAGCAGAAACGGGATCTAACGGTAGTGTATAAACAGAATCAAAAAAACAAAGTCAACATCAAGAGAGTTCAACGACATGAAACCTAGGGACTGGAACGAACCAGCAAGGGAAAGA